ATTTTGGATTTTACCAATCGTTGGACCTTCTGTCGCTCCTCGAATTCAACTTGGCAGTCTGATTGTAGGCCATGCTCTCACCAATGTGCGTTTCAGTTGTCGTAACCTACGTTTTTTGGACATTTTGCTGACTAGTTTCAATTCGATAGATTGGTTGGTCTATGTGGGCTATAGTAGATCTGGAACGATTCTTCCTGTTTTACCGTACGAAATGGAGTTTTGGCTTTGTAAAGTGGGAAGACCTAAATTTTTGATTCGATTTTAGCTTCCTATATGTCGTCATACACTCTCACGGTCAAGAGGACTCTTCAAACTGGATCCGTTATAGCTGCCGTTGTTGGAACGACATTTACCAGTTATTGTACGGCAACCACCCTTGACTATGCAACGCTGTTTTGGGTTGTTGGTCCTGGTGCGATCCAATGGATATTGCTTATTGGTATCGACTTTTTGTCACTCTCCGTCGTCTTTCGAGCATCTAGAACTACCTTGGAAGCGGATCCCAAGCGTCCCTCTTATTCCACACTGGCGGTGATCGCTCCTTGTATCCATGTGCCAACGATTTGTGCCGTCTACGTTGTCTTGGGAGTGTACGTAGCCCAACAACCATATCGCGGAACAGCTATAGCGTTCTTGTTGATTTCATTCTACAGGTAAGACATTTTCACCGTTGAATTTTTTCGATAACTAAGGACTGTCTTACAGATTCACAAGGATTGTGTTCCTCTATGCTACCACGAACTACGTGAAAACCGTTTTACAGCCAAAATCAGCTTTGGTGTTTAATGTCAGGTCGTCTATTGCAAAAACATCCACTCGCATCAATGGAATGACTGACAAGTCCCGAAATACCTCAGGAGTATTAATGACTTCTTCTGAGCGCCATCTCATAGCTGCAAATAACTCGGGTCGTAACCTTATAGGCATCGTAGCCAACAGTAGTCACCGTGATTTACCGATGCCAACACCAGAACGAGAACCCAGCACAGAGGATATCGCATCACCAGTGATAGTGCTTGACAACATCTTGGGACCTTGTAATGGTGAATTTGTGCCCAATGTATTTTTAACTGATGCAGCATCGTACAGACAGCCATCCGAGTTGTGTAGCAGCAGGTCTGGGCAGCCATCCATTTCGTCATGTGATGTACAAACCCCTGTATTCTCTCGTGATTTGCTAAATCACTCTGGTAAAAATGGTCAACAACAACGTCGTACAGAGTGCTTGTCCTCCACCGATAGCAACTCTGATCCATCCATACAAGCAGTTCCGTCTATGAAGAGAACTTTGTCTTCGTTTTCGCACCACCCTTCTGGTCTAGTTGAACCTGTGCGAGAAATCTCGTCGGTTTCTTACCCGTATACCTCTCTCACGTTCCAGGTTCCACTGCCAGCATCCATTTGCACTACAGCACCTACTACGGATGGAATACACGTTCTCTGTGGTCGCAATACCAAACATGAAGGCAACGTCGAATCCGTTGATTCTCTGGTTAGAGATGAAATGGATGTCGAGAGTATCGCCTAGGATGCCGTTAGTGATGATAAGAACTCCACCAATACTCTTGCTTTTGCAGTCTGTTTGACAATAGGACCTCAACTCGAATATGGACCAAACTGTAGCAATTTTAGTCAAGAAAAACCCCCCATAAACAATTGGAAATCGAGCCACATTTGAGTTTCGGACGAGAAAATTCGGCACAAGGAAGTGTATTGACTTAGAAGGAAGAAGTGTGTGATTGGTCAAGTGACGAATGAATCGCGTTGACTGTTGATATGAAAGTTGGTTGTGGGAAATCTGCATGAGCGATCGCATATTAAAAGTAGAGTAGAGCAAGTACATCTCAGGTCCAGTACAGGGCAATGCATCTCCATTGAAAAAATTGTGGATAAGCAGGCGAAGGTGATAAGAATAGAGAAATCATCTTGAAGTTGAACAAATGGCTGGCAAGCCATTCTACCACGACAAGACAACCCTTTCCAACTTGGAACTGTTTCTTGACTTGATCTTTATGAACAGAGAAAAGGAAAGACAAAGGACATCAAGGCAAAGTTCGACAAATCGCTGGCAAGCCTGTTTACTAGAAGAAAAGACACCCTTTCCAGCTTGGAACCGTCTTTGGACTTGACCTCTATGAATAGAGTCAATTGAATTTGCCGACATTCTCTTGGTGTCAAAACTGGGCAAGAGAGCGAGCAGCTCTGTTTAGAAATAATACAATCCATCCCAATATATTCCAGAGAATTCCAGCCCCTCAATTGCAAAAATTGATCAGAAACATGCTCACCCCCACACTCGGCGCATGTGAAGAAATCGGCGTACATGAAAGCCAGAGCTTGCTGGCCATGTGTGATTACTTTTTCCAAAGCTACTGTGGTATTCGGTATAGACATTCTACCACACCGCAAACAATTTGAAAATCCAGAACGACAGATCAACATCGAAATCGGGAGCCAAAGAGACACGGATTTTCTACAACGTCTCGACCAAGTACACGGACCTTCGATGTAATCCTAGATGACGGCAGTCACCAAATTGACGAATTAATGGCTTCGTTCAAGACGCTGTTTCCCTTGCTGAACAACAGTAGGATGTATATCATCGAAGATGTACACATGTTCCGAGACTCGTTGGAATACTTTTACGGTCTGACGCGACAACTTCTCCATAAATGACGCGACAACATCCCCATAAATGGTGTTTTGACAGTACTGTCAAACGATCTGACGGGCGTAATTGGTGTTGCGATCCTGCCAAAATCCAGCTTCAAACATCAGACAGTTTTCGGGTATTCTGTGGGCGACATTGTATTCACCAACAGCGATATTATTATTTACAAGGTTTGTCAAACAGAATTGGATTGCACCGGGTGGAACCGAACAATCGCATCGAAAAGAATAAAGTGATCATTTTTGATGTCGTGTAAAATTTGAAAACTAGGAATGTTTTCTATGGCGTTTTTTTGGTCCGCGCCAATAAAACAGAGTAAACCAGAAAAAGGGGAATAATCTTCTTGTAACTCATCCGATTTCTGATCTTTTTTGACACATGTGAAATTTGAAAACTAGCAGTTTTGTTTGCTGGATATTTGCTGCGCGCCAGTCGCCAATCAAACAGAGTAAACCAGAAAATGGGGAATAATCGTCTTGTCGTGTGTGAATCAGGTTTCTGATCATTTTTGACGCGTGTGAAATTTGAAAACTAGGAATGTGTTTCTCTGGATTTTTTGCTGCACGCCCAATCAAACAGAGTAATGGCAGGCCACCCCTTTATCATCAGTGTTTCCACATTGCCAAATACCCTGTTTCAAGATCGAGTTCGAATTGTGAGACTTCTCATCAATCACGAAGCAAACGTCAACATTGAAATTCCTAGTCGTCCTGACGAGTACAGTACGCCATTGCGATATGCATCGGAGCACAGTTCGACAAAATCACCCGAATCCAATTAGAAAAGCAAGCACTGCCAGATTTGAGGAATGTGTGCACAAGATTAGCAGATCCTGGCATTGTCGACTTGATCTTGCAACGACATATTGAATGTGCTGGAATCCTCAAAAAAGTCGTGAGAGGTCGACATCTCAATGAAGAATCGATCGAAATAGCGATCTCCACCAGATACGTTCCCAGAGACGAGTCGATTGTGGCATGGCGGTATGTACGAAATCGAACGACGAATATACCGAATGACTCACACGAATATCAAATATTATGCGTTTTGCACTGTGTCTTTGATGAGAGGCTGACGCAGATACCAACAAAACATCCGTTTACAACTAGGATCATCTCGACACTTGTCAAAATCTGAACCACAGTAGTGACTACAAGTGGCACCAGCTGGATAATAGCAAATACAATATCTAGTTTATCAATCCAGCATCAACTGTTTCGTTGCTTGTTGATTCACAGGAAATCCACAATTGACACAATCGTGTCAGTCGGATCATCAAACCATGATCCTTCCTCATCAGATTAATATAAATCATTGGGTGGCAACCACCAGAATCAAGCGCTTGGGTGTCAGTGACCAGTATCAAACGCTGTGGGTGAAACTGCCGCCAGGAATCAAAGCAGAAGACGCAAATGGGCAAACGAATATGAGGAGGATGTCTGATCCAATAATTAAATTCAAACCAATTCCGGATGTCAAATTCAAAGAATGTCATCATCTGTTGTGGCTTGGGTCAGAGTTTAAAAAGTCAGAATTTCACAAGATGTGAACTCCTCTTCTAAATTCTGACGTATAGACTAAAAACTCTGATGTAAGGTATCCACGAGTAGTATTATGAACATCTTTATTTATTATGTCATAATTCTTTATTATTTATATCTGACCGTTTAGACTAAAAACTCTGATTCAAGACACTTGTCTGTCAACAACGAATATTTTGTGCCGGTATGTGATAGACAACTACACAACAAAGATCCTGCGACGACCAACCGGGGAACCTTCCAAACAATTTCCGTTGTGTAATATCCTAAAAGACACACTTTTCCAAATCGTCAAAGATCCGTTAGACAGTCCATCCAAAATGCACACTGGTCCAACCTTGCCGCCAAATGTTGGATCGGAGCAGCGAGTGTGACGAAAATGATGGGAATTCTGCTCACTTGCGGACTCGTTGTCGGTGCGTGACACTCTTCCACCAAATCCTAGTTTGTACAATGTACTGCACAGGAAACCGACGATCGAACGATGCTACCACTACCACCATTGTTCTGACTCCACGTACTTTCAACAAATGTACACCAATGTACTGCACAGGAAACGGACGATCGAACGATGCTACCACTACCACGATTGTTCTGACTCCACGTACTTTTAACAACCCTGTGTTGCAAACTTTGTATTTGTCTTTTGGAAACGGGTATTAAAAAAGTTTGTGCCCTTGACTGATCTTGTCTACCCTACCTAACCTGTACGCGTGCTTGTTATGTACACAAAACCTACCAACTTTCTGTTTTGGCTGGTTGTGCTTCACACAAATTCCAACAAGCCGATGGGCAACTGCTGCCCCGGTGCATCAGACGGACCTGTAAGAACCGAAACATTCTCGTCCCAGTCGTCTACTACTGCATTGTGAGTAGCAAATGTCCTCAATCGTCTCCGCTGTGCTCAAGTGCTCACTTTACCCACCCACTTTACAGGACTGCAAACAAGTTGCAGAAATACGCAGACGATGCACCTAAGCTTGGCTCAAATCCTTTGAAGGGTAAGCTTTCTACCCGCGTTGAACATTGTTTCGGCAAAGGGTTTTCCAAGTGACGATTGGATCAAACCACCAGGGATCGAGGTTTACTTCACAACCGGGGACGGTCGAATTGCACAAGTTTCAGACACACATATCCCAACAGGACTTTCTCGTGGGTGACGTTTCCGATCACTTTGGTCCAGCAAAATTCTAACGTTGCGTTTTATAGCTCACAAGACGGCCGACAATCCAGATATTTCAGTAGCCTCTTATGATGCTAGCACTGCTCCAAATGATTTAGAATCGCTGTTCACAAAGTGGTCTGAGGTCGTAGATGGAAGTCAAGTCATTAGCAACTTGGATGCGCAACAAGTCATTGATGCCTTGAACACTGCGCAGAACAAGTCACAACTAGATCCCATATTTTCCAGTGCAAAGCAGGCAGTGGGTCTGCTCGAATCTGCCAGTCAAAGCAGCGCCGTAACTGGACTATTCGCCACTCTCAAAAACATTGATTGGGTCAAAAGCATTGTCGTTTTTGGTGATACGATTTCTCAGGTACCATTAAGAAATCTATAGGTACGCCTTGACCTGGTATTGACGATTAATCTCCTTAGGCACATCCTTGGGTGAATGCTGCCTGGTTTGTTGTTGGAGGTGCCATCAAGGTGACAATGCAATATCGATACAATTCCTAAAGGCGAGAAGTAGCTCACACTCGTGAAAAATAGATTATTCAAAATAAGAAGAATGCCGATAGAGCTCTGATGTTGGAACTCGTCAAAGCTATGAAAGAATCCATCCCACATATTTCCGACATTCAAGGTATCGATAAAGAGTACCAGACACCACACATTAAAGCAATCATGAATGATCTGTGCAAGGACATATCTGAGAGTGCAGTGTTCGCTGCGAGTATCAACGCAGACGGGGTGGTCCGGTTTGCCGGTAAGTGACGGTTTAAAATTTGGCAAACCATATGTCTGATACATCCTGAAACTAGCGGCTGCTGTAAGCGAGTCTCTTACTGGGGAAGAACAAAAGTACAAGGACTCTTTTGTTGGTAAACTTCAAAGCCATCGCAAGCAGCTCGACACGGCTTTGGGAACTGGAGGGATCAAGGCCACTGCCATAGTTGGCGGAAAAGTGGACAGGTCAAACGCTATGTTGGTTGACATCAAAACCATACTAGTCGAGAGATTACCAGGTAATTCTCTTGGCATTGATCGCATGAACCTGACTAGGAAAACATTAACAAGCGGCTTTGTGGTAACAGTTGGAGGAGCTATAGATCCACAAGACGAGCTCCGCAACTGGCTCGCGCCTCTGCCTGATATGGATGGAGATATTCGCAAGTTGGTCAAGGCCCGTGCGGAGGGTACTCGACAATGGCTGCTGGATAAAGTCCATGCTTGGGCCACCCGACAGCTCGACGACCCAGAGAGTCAACAGGTGTATTGGCTCTTGGCCCAAGCGGGTGCGGGCAAGAGTGTAGTTGCCGCTTCTGTAGAAAATCATTTTAAATCGCAAGGGCTGTTGGGAGCCAAGTTCTTTTGTAGACACGATAAACAAGAACGACGAGACCCAGCCCGCCTTGTTGCCTCTATCGCCTTCCAGCTTTCTAGATCAACCGGATTTGAACAGTACGCTGCAAAACTGTTAGAGTTGAAAAAAGAAAAGGTATCACGCTTTTTTTTCTATATACATCTTGATGCACGTCGGAAGCTCAAGATTTACTCATTAGAACGACCTATTTAAATCTTCTGATGCCGGCTATTTATTTGAAGAATTGCTCGAGAAGCCATTGAAACAGGTTGAAGCGAGTCTCCCGTCACAACCGGTCGTAATTATCATTGACGCACTGGACGAAATTGGTCAATCGCTTGATGGCCATGCCAGTGACCAAGAACAGGAAGAAGCCATCCGACAGTCTGGTGATCGTGCTGAACTTTTGGAAACATTGGCCAAATGGAAGAAGCTTCCCAAGTGGCTACGTCTATTTATGACTAGTAGACCAGACAAGGATATTCTCAGAGCTCTTCGAGGTCCGTTAACGCCATCAGAGCTGGAACTGACCAATGTGAAGAACTTGGAGGATATTCAAGAATATGCCGATTCTAAAGTAACGAAATGGTTTTACAAGTCCAAACCAGAAAAAGACCGAAGAGATCTGGCAAAGCTTTTAGCAACTCGCTCTGAAGGATTGTTTATCTGGTTGAGACTAACGTGAGTAGTTTCCAAAGTTGACAATGACTCTTGGAGTGTGCTAACCACCGTTACCGTTACTTTAGATGTGATGACATTGGGAAGGCAACTAGCAAATGGGAACGTCTTTTAGAATACACCAATGACCAGAGTCCTCGAACTCCCAAAGAACTATATTCAAAGGCCTATGACCGTGCTCTCAAGAATGCTGTAAACGATGTAGACGAAGAAGACAGAGACCTAGTGACTAGATGTATGAAGACGCTTCTGGAGACGATAGTCTGCGTCCAGACGCCAGTCTCTGGTAACGTCCTTGCCGGACTATGCAACATAGAGCCAAACATGGTGCACAAAGTATTGTCGAGCCTACTGTCAGTGCTATCCGTCAACCTACGAGAATCCCTTGGATATGATAATGATGATGACTTAGAGATTGACATGGTAGAACCTGTGCAAGTGATTCATAAATCATTTACGGATATGTTGACAGACAAGAAACTCTACGGTGACGGCCAATTCCATGTTGATTTGACAACCTCCGATACTACATTAGCAAATAAATGCCTGGAGATCTTGACCAGTCGTCTGCAAAGTCAACTCGAGAATCTAAATCCTGTCCTGGGCTCATCTGACGAAATACAATACGGGAAAGGCCCAATCGTCAGTGATATAGACTACTCTGCTCGCTTTTGGATAATCCACGTGGATGACTCTGACATAAGCCAAGTTTCCGTTGCCTCATCCAATGTACTAGAGGTGGTGGATGCCGTATCTGGCCATGTTTCACGTTGGGGTTCCGCTACAACGAACTCGGCCGGCAACGGATGCATAAACACATTGAAATGGTTGGTTCAGCAGGTAGGAGACCTCGCTTTCAATGGAATTTGTCGAAATTCTAATGTCTTTTTTCGTTGACTAGGGAGCCAATGTCAACACACCAGACGATAGAGGACAAACACCACTCTTTGTAGCAGCTGAAGGTGGACACATCGAACTCGTGCGGTACTTGGTGGAAAAGGTATGCTCGTTGTGATATCTTGCACTTGTTTTCTTAATACAACACTAACACATTTAATGATCAGTGCCAAGCTGATGTCAACAAACCCGACAATCGCGGACAAACACCAGTCTTTGCACCAACTAGAAGTGATAACATCGAACTCGTGCAGTACTTGGTGGAAAAGGTATGCTCGTTTTAATATCTTGTCTTGTTTTCTTAATACAACACTAACACATTTAATGATCAGTGCCAAGCTGATGTCAACAAACCAGACAATCGCGGACAAACACCAGTCCTTATAGCAACTTATAGTGGAAACATCGAACTCGTGCAGTACTTGGTGGAAAAGGTATGCTCGTTGTGATATCTTGCACTTGTTTTCTTCATACAACACTAACACATTTAATGATCAGTGCCAAGCTGATGTCAACAAACCAGACAATGACGGAACGACACCAGTCTTAGTAGCAACTAGAAGTGGAAACATCGAACTCGTGCAGTACTTGGTGGAAAAGGTGTGCTCGTCGTGATATCTTGCACTTGTTTTCTTAATACAACACTAACACGTATAATGGTCAGGGCCAAGTCAATATCAACACACCAGACAATGACGGACAGACACCACTCTTTGCAGCAGCTTATAGCGGAAACATCGAACTTGTGCAGTACTTGGTGGAAAAGGTATGCTCGTTGTGATATCTTGCACTTGTTTTCTTCATACAACACTAACACATTTAATGATCAGTGCCAAGCTGATGTCAACAAACCAAACAAATACGGAAAGACCCCAGTCTTTGAAGCAGCTTATCGTGGAAACATCGAACTCGTGCAGTACTTGGTGGAAAAGGTATGCTCGTTTTAATATCTTGTCTTGTTTTCTTAAGACAACACTAACACATTTAATGATTAGTGCCAAGCTGATGTCAACAT